GCTCAGCATGACAATCATCTGACAGCCCACAGGGTAGGTGAGGACCCCCTGCGCAGTAGGTACAGAGAAGGGGTATATTATTTTGTTTCCCCTGTAGGAGCAGTGCTGGACAGGAGGACGCAGCCGGCCATACGTTCCAGATTTGTTCTGCTCCTGACATGGAATGTCAGCGCCCCAAGTCGGCCATCACTCTCTCCTGACGCAGCATTAATCACATCAGTCTTCCTGGAGGACAGCCGCTGAATCGCAGCTTTTTTTATAGGTCAATTAAAACATATTACCTTTCATGGCGGGGATTTAGAGCTAATAAAATTGTGAAACGGCTCTGCCCTGCCATACGTTCATCTGGACTTGATGGATCTGTCATTAAATTACATAAACTCGTCAGCTCTTCTGACACGCCGCAGTCATCAGAAGTGTATTCAGTTTTACTGATCGCGTATCGTCGCGTCCCCGGGGCTGTACAACGGAAGAGCGAGCCAAATAAAAGTCCTACAAAATGTTACACGCCAGTCCCACCTGCTGACCAAACCATGGCACCAGCACCATTGTGCCGCCATTCATGAGGACTTCTCCTCCTGTGCCTGAAGTGTCAATAATTGGCTGTAATGTGAGTCACTTTTATTATATTCACATCTGTTGCGTCTATTGTTAGGGGCAGCACAGTGGCTAAGTGGTTAGCACTTCCACTGGCAGTACTGGGATTATTAGTTCAAATCCCAACCACAGCACCACCTGCCTGGAGTTTGCATGTTCTCCCTGTGCCTGCGTGGGTTTCCTCCAGGTACTCGGGTTTCCTCCCACACACCTAAGACATGCTGGTAGATTCATTGGCTCCTGTCTAAATTGTCCCTAGTATGTGTATGTATGAATGTGAGTTAGGGACCTTAGATTGTACCCCCCTTGAGGGCTAGGGACCTTAGATTGTACACTCCTTGAGGGTTAGGGACTGATGTGAATGTACAATATATATGTAAAGCCCTGCGTAGATTGACGGCGCTATAACGTTCCCCTGTAAATTCAACCTATTCCCTTGTACATTCGACCCGTTTACTTCTACATTCGACCCGTTTACTTCTACATTCGACCTGTTCCCTGGTGCATTCGACTGTTCCCCTGTACATTCAACCTGTTCCCTTGTACATTCGACCTCTTCGCTTGTACTTTTGACCTGTTCCCTCGTACATTCGACCTGTTCCCTCGTACATTTCGACCTGTTCCCTCGTACATTCGACCTGTTCACTTGTACATTCAACCTGTTCACTTGTACATTCAACCTGTTCCCTCGTACATTCAACCTGTTCTCTCATACATTCGACCTGTTCCCCCGTACATTCAACCTGTTTCCTTGTACATTCAACCTTTTCCCTCGTACATTCAGCCTGTTCCCTCGTACATTCAACCTCTTCCCTCGTACAATCAACCTCTTCACTCGTACATTCAACCTGTTCACTCGTACATTCAACCTGTTCACTCGTACATTCAACGTGTCCCTTGTACATTCAAACTTGTCCCTTGTACACTCGACCTGTTCCCTTGTACATTTGACCTGTTCCCTCGTACATTCAACCTGTTCCATACATTCGACCTGTTCACTAGTACATTTGGCCTGTTCCCTCATACATTCGGTCTGTTCCCTCGTACATTCGGTCTTTTCCCTCGTACATTCGGTCTGTTCCCTCGTACATTTGACCTGTTCACTTGTACAGTGGACCTGTTCCCTCATACATTTGACCTGTTCCCTCGTACATTCGACCTGTTCCCTCGTACATTCGACCTGTTCCCTCGTACATTCAACCTGTTCCCCCGTACATTCGACCTGTTCCCTCGTACATTCGACCTGTTCCCTCGTACATTCAACCTGTTCCCTCGTACATTCGGCCTGTTCCCTCGTACATTCGGCCTGTTCCCTCGTACATTCAACCTGTTCCCTCGTACATTCGGCCTGTTCCTTCGTACATTTGACCTGTTCCCTCGTACATTCAACCTGTTCCCTCGTACATTCGGCCTGTTCCCTCGTACATTCGGCCTGTTCCCTCGTACATTCGGCCTGTTCCCTCGTACATTCAACCTGTTCCCTCGTACATTCGGCCTGTTCCTTCGTACATTCGACCTGTTCCCTCGTACATTTGACCTGTTCCCTCATACATTTGACCTGTTCCCTCGTACATTCAACCTGTTCCCTCGTACATTCGACCTGTAACAGATGGAATCTCATGTTCCAACACCAACATTCATCTTTATTACATTTCCAGAAGTACCATCACCGCCGTTCCTTTTCCCAGCAACATGCAGAATGTTAGCGGCATTTAACAGTCGCCCCCCTCCCCTCCCCCCCTCATCCGATTTTCACTTTTGTTTGCTGTAACAAATTGAAAGGTATTTTTTTTTCTCTGGCTGGCTGCTGATTTTAAATGTACAAAACCCTAGTGTGCGATTCCATTAGCTGCCCTGCAGCAGTGCAATCTACAATTTCCCCAAGGCTGTTGTGAAATATTGATGAAATTCCAGCTTTTGTGGCTTTCTGTGATAACACTAAACATTTGTCTGATGTGAGCCGACCTCCGCTGGATCTTTCAGACGAATGTACGGCGCAACTTCAAAGGCTGCGAAGTGCATTGTTCCCCGGCACCGGCCCGAAACGTTCAAAAGCGCCGCTGCCTGGGAATCCGGGGCAAGAACACGGCGGTGAAATAAATCCTCTGCGTTGTACCTGAAGCTGCACGATCCTCGCTTTGCCTTCGCCGGGAACAACGTTGGGTCTGTGTGACGGGTCGCTGCGGCCAATCAGAGTCGTTCTTTTTTATGTGACCTGCGTACGAAAAAAAAAAAAACGACCGGTGGGGGCCGGCTGCGTAATAATAGCTTTGAAAATGTGCGTTGTGGTGCGCCGCAGCGCCGGGACCTCGCAGGCTGCGCTACTTCTGCATTGGGCTATCGTTCTGAATTCTAAATGGAAGCGATGCACAAAGTGCCGCGCGTTGCAACGCATGGACGCAAGGTGTGACATCACCCGTGATTGGTAGGAATCAGCCGCAATGAGTTCTCACAGGTTCTTCCTCCTCCTGATGGCCTCCACCTCATTACTGTGTCCTAAAGTGACGCAACAGTCAGAGGCGGGGCTGATCGCTGTGGGTGTGACCCAGCAAATTGACACTCCCGGAAGTGTCGGTTTCCCAGCAGACTTTTCTGGGAGTGTCTGCTCATAGGTCCCTCCTCCATTGTCCTGACCAATAACGGCCTATTGTTAAAGCGGGAGAAAAGCCAAAGTGTAACTATTCTTAAAAATGGCCGCTCTCCACGCCTCCTACCTATAAAAAATATGGACGTGCTTTCCTGGTTTTAATCCACCCTAGTCCGGTCATGTGATCCCAGGTCCGGTCATGCGATCCCAAGTCCGGTCATGTGATCCCAGGTCCGGTCATGTGCTCCCACAGCTCTGGTTGGGGCAGGGGTAGGCAACCTGTGGCTCTCTAGCTGTTGTGGAACTACATTTCCCATGAGGCATTGCAAAGATTACTAAACTGACAGTTACAGCTATGACTTGCAGAGGCATGATGGAACTTGTAGTCCTGCGGCTCTCAGGTTGCTTACCCCTGGGCAGGGGGAACACAACGACGGTCTTGAATTCCAGGAGCCGTGACGTCACCCTTTGGTTTCAATGGCCCAGTTGCTGTCAGTGCTCCCACCTCTCCCCTGCAGCAGCACTGAAACAGGGGAGCTGGAGCTGCAGGATCATGTGACCAAATTCAAACCAGGCGGAGGAGGGAACATTTTTAAGAGTAGTTAGACTTGGGCATTTCTTCCACTGTAACCAGTTCTGGACCGCTGTTTGCGGCAATGCGGCCCCTCTGTGTACTCGTAGGTGATACGGCCCTTATGGGTAAGGGCTGCGTACTTACTGCTCCATTTGTGCTGTCATTTGCTACAGCACATACCAATCAGAGGGTTCCGGGTCACTGATTTATGGCCGGAACCTGCTAAGCAAATGACAGAAGAGGGCCCTGTGCTGGTAAACAACACAGAGCTCTCTACAGACAGCAGGAGTGTACTGCTTTTTTTTTCTCCTTGCAAAGCAGGGAGTAAAAACCAGCACATTGCTTGGTAAAAACAGCACCCAGTACACACAGAAAACATTGCTAACCCTCCGATTGCCCCTAAATGTTAACCCCTCCCCCAATGTGATCACTGCTCTCTTCCACACTCCCAGTTCTCTGCCCGGCCTCCATTACACAGCACTGTCCCCTGATTATAACTACGCTCCATCACCTCATACTTCACTGTCGTTCTGCACTGCGCACTATGTGTGTCTTCTCATCATGCCTGGAAATAATTAAAGTTCCTAACATTTTTGTATGTAAATATATGGACGTCTTCTAAATATCGGGGTTTATAGGAGAGTTTTCCTTGCGATATTGTAGATTCTTTTGTTTTCTCACCACCAGAGAGACAGACCTTCGTGTAACGTAAAGGGTATCTAAACCCAAGAACAGAAATGTAGCACATTGCAGGCTTAGCAGATCTTAGATGTGGCGGCTGCATTCGTTTTCTTTTTTTTTTTTATGACTTTTGTGTTTTATTTTGACTTGTTGATCCTGCCAGTAACACATGTCTTGTCCCAGGGTGACAACGCTCACTTACTGTACGATATCTATGGAGAAGCAGTATTATCATCACCCTGGGGCTAGGCTACAGTACACCTCCCCATATCTATGCCAGGTTAGGGAGGTGTTTTGTAAGCCACAGAGAGAACCGAGAACACTGCTGATGGTCAGGAGAGGCAGAGAGGGCAAGAAGTTTTCAGCTCAGAAGATTTCTGGCAGGATCAACAGCTATCAACACTCATTGAACAGATAACAGGGTCCAGGGGCCATACATTGTCTACCAAAGGGCCATATGCAGCCCTCTGGCTGTAGGTTGGACATCAGGGCCCCAGAGGGTTAGTCGGGTGGGTTTGTTGGTCTTTCAGAAGTATTTTTTTTATTGAATGTAATGTCATTATGAGAGTGTGCATTAAGTTTGCATGTTTTTTTTCATCTTCAGGTTACTTCCAAGACGAAGAGGATTTGAAAGGTGACAGCATAAAGGATGAAGAGGAGGAAGATGATGACAGCACCTCCACCGCCCATCTCCAGGACAGCGCGTACTCTCCTACCGATGAGGAACAAGAGGTAGCTGGGGAGCCAAAGAGAAGCTTGAGCTTTCACGGCTCCCCGGCAAGTCACACGTGCAACCAAGATGGAGAAAACGAATCCTTACTAAGTGATGCCAGCGACCAGGTCGCGGACATGAAGAGCTTATCATCTCCTAAAGATGCTCAGGACCAAAAAACAAGCCAACAACCCAGGCTGCAAGCAGAGGCCCAGGACTGCATCAATAAAATGAAGATGTCCTATGCCAACATATTATCTGACTCCTATTGGACAAACTTAGGACTGAGTCTTAAGGTGCCTCATGCCGACAGAAAAGCACGTGACAGCTGTAACGGAACCAGTAAAGGAGATTTTGACTGGCATCAGGATGCCCTTTCCAAAAGTCTACAGCAAAACCTACCTGCGAAATCCATTTCCAAGCCGAACCTTTTCAGCTCTGTCCAGCTGTACCGGCAAAACTCAAAAATGTACAGCACAGTTTTCACGGGGGCTAGCAGGTTTCGCTGTAGACAGTGCAGTGCTGCGTACGATACCTTGGTGGAACTTACCGTGCACATGAATGATTCGGGCCATTATCAAGATGACAACCGCAAGAAAGACAAGCACAGACCAGTCAGTTACTCAAAGCCTAGAAAACGGGCATTTCAGGACATGGACAAAGAGGACGCACAGAAAGTTTTAAAATGCATGTTTTGTGGTGACTCGTTTGACTCACTTCAAGATCTAAGTGTCCACATGATAAAAACGAAACATTACCAAAAAGTGCCTTTGAAGGAACCCATTCCAAGCATCTCATCTAAAATGGTCTCTGCGAAAAAACGAGTGTTCGAAGTGACCCGACCGTGCTCACCGGATTCCACCACAGGTTCCTTTGTGGAACACTGTAGCACGCAGAAAAATTCCAACGCCCAGCTGCCCTCCAACAACCGCTATGGATATCAGAATGGTGCCAGCTATACTTGGCAGTTTGAAGCCTGCAAGTCTCAAATTCTAAAGTGCATGGAATGTGGTAGTTCTCACGACACTTTGCAGCAGCTCACCACACATATGATGGTCACTGGACATTTCTTGAAAGTTACTAATTCAGCCTCAAAAAAGGGCAAGCAGCTGGTTTTGGACCCACTAGCTGTAGAAAAGATGCAGTCCCTCTCGGATTCCCCATCGAGCGACAGTCAGTCAAAGCCATCCGCAAGCTCTCCTTCGGGGGGATCAACATCTGAAATGATGACCAGCAAAGAATGTAAAGCGGACAATTTAGAAGAGGGTAGCAAAGATGAAAAAGTAGACACGAGCGAGGAGCATAGAGACAGTCTAGAAAAGCCTTTAGATCCAACATTGAAATACCAGTACTTAAGAGAAGAAGATTTGGAAGATGCTTCAAAGGAAGGAGGTGACATTCTGAAATCTTTAGAAAACACAGTAACCTCAGCGATTAACAAGGCCCAAAATGGAACTCCAAGCTGGAGTGCGTATCCCAGCATCCATGCTGCATACCAAATTTCAGATGTCATGAAACCTTCTATGTCCCTTAATTCTCAAGTAATGCAGATGAGGTCCTCCTTCTCAAATAAGTTTAGGCCTATTGCTCCTAAAGGCAAATCTCTTCCCTCAAGCACTCCTCCCGAACCACAATCTACACACGTTAAAGAGGAATCTGAGGATGCAGAATTAGAAAAAGAACCAACACAAGAAATTAAGATGGATGTAATGCCAACAGACAAAAATGAAGAGTCACCCAAAACCTTAGACTTGCTGGAGACAATAAAAGAACCAAACAGCTCACCAAGACCAGAGGAAAAGATAAAGCAGAACTGTGAAAAGGAGAAGGCAAAGTTCCTGGAGCCATTGGAGTCTTCACCAGGAAGTGAAGACTGTTCAACACTGAGGAGTTCTGCAAATTGTTCCCCTGATATCCCATGTGTAAACCCTCTCAGTGCTTTGCAGTCTGTTCTAAACAATCACCTAGGAAAAGCCTCTGAATCACTGAGGTCACCTGGAAGTTCCAATTCCTCAAGCCTGGTCACCGTGTTTCAGAAGCCTCCTGTGAACCGAGTGGAGAAACCAGCTGTATGTCTTACTCCACCACGGTCTAAAGCCCAATATTTATTTGAAGCGAGTGACCAGCCCATTGACCTTACCAAATCTAAGAATAAAAAGGCTGAGTCGGCTAAAGCCAAGTCTTGCACGTCTCCACCTCAGAAGCACGCTCTGTCAGACATAGCTGATATGGTTAAAATTCTTCCAAAAGCTACAACCCCAAAGCATGTATCTTCTGGAAGAATGGGCCACATGAAACTAGACATGGACTCTAGGCACGTTGACATTGTCTCCACGGAGGTCTCATCACTGCATAAAAGAAAGGGAAGACAATCTAACTGGAATCCTCAACATCTCCTCATTTTACAAGCCCAGTTTGCCTCCAGTCTCTTCCAGACGTCAGAGGGAAAATATTTGTTATCGGACCTGGGACCTCAAGAACGGATGCAGATTTCAAAGTTTACTGGACTGTCCATGACAACGATCAGCCATTGGTTGGCCAATGTCAAATATCAGCTTCGGAAGACTGGCGGGACAAAATTTTTGAAAAACATGGATAAAGGACACCCCGTGTTTTACTGCAGTGACTGTGCATCTCAGTTTAGAACCCCCTCCAGCTACATAGGCCACTTAGAGACCCATCTTGGATTCCAGATGAAAGACATGAACAGACTGAGTGTTGAGCAGCAAACCAAGGTCGAAAAGGAGATCTCACGAGTAGCTGTTCAGCAGTCCCCTCAACCCGTAGCTGGGGATGAGGATACGGACTCTAAGTTTAAATGTAAATTGTGTTGTCGGACATTTGCCAGCAAACACGCGGTCAAGCTGCACTTAAGCAAAACACACAGCAAGTCCCCGGAACATCATTCACAGTTTGTAGCTGAGGTTGACGAGGAGTAATTTGTATATGATGCATTGATTCTTAGTTTCATCCTTTTTTTTTTTCTTTGGACTGTACAGTTTAAGAAACCAACAGAACGGGCTTGTGTGCTTTCATAGAAGTAGTAAACCTATTGAAGTGTCAGGTGTATGTCGGTGTATATATATCTGGTGATGTATATACTGGTCTACTTTGCATTACGTTATGGCGGGTCAGAGACCCCGCCACATGCAGATTTTCCATTTCCTTTTGGTTTTTATAAAATGTTGCTGCTAAATCCATATCCCATAGAAGCTCCACCAGTCCCAATTTAGGTATACCTAGGCCTATCTTCGTACGAGGAAGAGCCTTCATAGTAGGACAGTCGGGATGCATTTCCCAAAGGGCCAGTTGGCTCTGCAGCCACAGATGAGACGCATTCACTGTAGAGGTGGGTCCCCTCTATGACATCGCAGATTCAATACACACTTACAGGGTTTAACTTGTGGTACATAAAAATTAAGAGGGAATTGTTTTTTTTGTTATGCCTATTACACATTGTACTGTGTGCTGAACTCTCTGTCACCACGAGGTGACCCTGGAGTATATTAGTCCATCAGATAGTCAATGTCAGGTCTCTGTACACACGTATTAACACATCAGCCAACATTTTCTAGCCCACAAATCACCTTCAGACACCTATGGTAACAAGCGTCTCCTAACGAAGGTCAATGACAAATGGAACCCAAATATGACCCATGTAATAACATTGTATTGGAAAGGTATCATTACTACCCCCTTTGGCTTCGCTATCATTATTATGAGAGGTACTGACCTGCTGAAAGGGCTCCACGAGCAACAACAGCCACTAGTTCAAGATCATGACTATAGACACTATATGACCCGAAGCACGTGGAAACCTCTCCAAATGTTCTGGAGCACAGGTCTTTAAAGACATCATTTGATGAACTTGGTGTGACAGAACTTTACGATCTTGGGCAAAGCCTTCTCAGTAGACTGGAGAGTGTTATAGAAGAAGGTGGGGGTGGGCAACTCCATACTAACGGCCGTGGTTTTGGAATAGGATGTCCTTCAAGCTTCTATAGGTTTGATGGTCAGGTGTCCACAAACATTCGGCCTAATAGTGTATGCAACACAAAGGAGGAAACCAAAAAATAGGTATCGTTAACCCCCCCCCCCATCTCTAATTATTATAGCAACATTTCCTAAATATGAAATCCCTTTAAGTCCTAAGGGGAACTAACTGTCACTTCCGGCCCCTCTCCACTAAGGCTAAAATTGGGTGTCTTACGTTGGCTGTGATGGAAATGTAAGAGGTTCATGTTGGGTTGTGGACCATGTATGGCATTATACCATATTCTGCATATAGAGAAAAGGGGCGTCGTTGACCTCCATGGGCGACACCAACACTTTCCGCTTCCCCACTTGTAGGGAACATGTTATGGAATTTAGGTGGATGATGCCAACTCCTCTCACCCTGTTAGTACAGACATTATTAAAATGCTTAACGTGACTGCGTCAAGAGAAAAGTATGGGCGGGCTTCCATTGCCTAACCTATTCTGAAAATGCTAGCTGCCTGGCTATGAATGGCTTTAGTACTTCTGAGTCACAGACCCGAAAGAGCATGCTGGAAATGAGTGTCGGAATTCCTCATCCCTTTATTCGTTCAAAGTCAGACTCTTCGCAAGCATTGAATCCAAAGCGTCGGCATGGTGGGCAGGAAGCTAGCATTCTCATTGGCAGCCCCGATCACTTTTCCCAAGGCAGAGTCGTTTTAACATGCATGTAAAGCTAAATCTGAGTCAAATCATGTTTTCATCATCAAAGATCCTGCCAGTGACGGCATTTCCTGTTGCAGTCTGACCACGCCAAGCAACTGCCATGCCATCACAGCAGCGTTGTCGGTCCCATGCATGGAAAGGAGCGCACACAACCCTGCTGATAATTGCGAGGCAGTCGTTTCGCATTGTCAGCGTGGGGCACGGAGCGCTGTTGCTGGCGGGATCTCCAGGTATAAACCATTACAGTAGATTAGCAAAAAGTGGCTTAAAGCTTAAATCCTGGGCACAACAACAATAATCCCCAACACTGCAAGGGTTAACTGCTCATTAAGTCAAGGGGGTACCGGGAGAGCCGCCGTTACCTACGTGACTCTCTGCTCGTGCAGGCTTCGGTGCTGTCCTCCTTTTTTCAGGAGCTCCGGTCTGTGGGCGGTCCTTCGCTGTCATCACACACAATGCTGGGCTTTCTATTGTACTTAGTGGGGGGAGCATGCAACCACGGCCAAAGGCAGCTTAGAAAGGAGGCTGCGGGGAATCGGTCGCAATGCCGGAACGAGGAGGAAGGTAAGTAATGCAGCCTCTTCTACAACCCCCCCACTTAGCAAGCATATAACCCCTGCAGTGTGTGGGGAAGGGGGGGAGGGGCACTGCAAGTGTATTTTGTTTTTGTTGTGCCTGGAGTGTGACTTTACATGTATGTATCATACTGCCAGGCGTGATGCCAAACGTGTTGAAAAATACAACCAGGGATTATATACACGTCAACGCTTTTGTATTGACATGCTTTGCCTCCACATTGCTCTTCACTGCCGGCCTTAGGACTACTTCACCCCTTCAAATGTATCCAAATCCCCAAAAAACGAAATATTGATATATGGCAGCTTACCAGTCCGTAGATGTGGCGGCTGCGTTAGTTTTCTGGTTTTAGGCTTTTTAATCCCTTTATCACTAGGCGATCCTGCCAGTAACACACTTTTATCTGCGGAGGAACAACAGAGCCACCCTTGGACGGCACCATTGTCCGGAGAGGGGAGTGCTAGGTGGACTAGCGGGGTTAGAGGGACTTTACTAACAAATGATAGCCGGACTCTAGACGACACTTCATCAGCTGCTACAGAGGATTTCTTATTTTGGCATAAAGGTTTTACATGAATAAATAAAAGCTGATCATTCTGTCAGTGGTAAATGGTTGGCCCTCCCAACCCTCTAACTGTTACATCTGCAGGATAGCTTGTTCTATTGAAGAACAACAGACTTACTGGCAGACGAAAATAAAGGGAAGAAAAAAAAGAAAATGCAGCCGTCACAGCTAAGGATTAGTAACAGAATACATTTTGGCACTTGGGTTTAGATACACTTTATAGTTGGAAAAAAAAAGGTTGTTACCAAAGCCGAACCTGCAACACACACTTGCAGCCACAAGGGGGAGCCGGAATTCATCGATGTCCTAAAGGAGAGCCAGACACCTGTGTGAGAAGCCTCAGACGCTCCGAACCGGCAACTTCCTGTCCACATGCTAGTTACAAGCTGAGGAAAGTGACCTTTTTCCCATTGGACTAACATGTACGCAAACGGTTGAGAGAGTTGCAGCTTCTATCTGAGACTTCTCACATAGGGGAGCCAACAAAATAAGCCAAACCTGACCACAGAAAAAGCAGATCTGGACCAATTGACTCCCCTGTTACTGCTTCCATTCACTCTCCTGTTCCTGCTTCCATTCACTCCCCTGTTCCTGCTTCCATTCACTCTCCTGTTCCTGCTTCCATTCACTCTCCTGTTCCTGCCTCCATTGACTCTCCTGTTCCTTCTCCCATTCACCCTCCTGTTCCTGCTCCCATTGGCCCTCCTGTTCCTGCTCTCATTGTCCCTCCTGTTCCCATTCACTCCCCTGTTCCTGCTCCCATTGACTCCCCTGTTCCTGCTTCCATTGACTCCCCTGTTCCTGCTTCCATTCACTCTCCTGTTTCTGCTTCCATTGACTCTCCTGTTCCTGCTCCCATTCACTCCCCTGTTTCTGCTCCCATTGGCCCTCCTGTTCCCATTCACTCCCCTGTTCCTGCTCCCATTGACCCTCCTGTTCCTGCTATCATTCACTCTCCTGTTCCTGCTCCCATTCATTGACTCTCCTGTTCCTGCTCCCATTCACTCTCCTGTTCCTGCTCCCATTGGCCCTCCTGTTCCTGCTCTCATTGACCCTCCTGTTCCTGCTCTCATTGACCCTCCTGTTCCTGCTCTCATTGACCCTCCTGTTCCTGCTCCTATTCATTCTCTCTCCTGTTCCTGCTCCCATTCATTGATTCTCCTGTTCCTGCTCTCATTCATTCTCTCTCCTGTTCCTGCTCTCATTGACTCTCCTGTTCCTGCTCCCATTCATTGACTCTCCTGTTCCTGCTCCCATTCATTGACTCTCCTGTTCCTGCTCCCATTCATTGACTCTCCTGCTCCTGCTCCCATTCATTCTCTCTCCTGTTCCTGCTCCCATTCATTGACTCTCCTGTTCCTGCTCCCATTCATTCTCTCTCCTGTTCCTGCTCCCATTCATTGACTCTCCTGTTCCTGCTCCCATTCATTGACTCTCCTGTTCCTGCTCCCATTCATTGACTCTCCTGTTCCTGCTCTCATTCATTCTCTCCCCTGTTCCTGCTCTCATTGACTCTCCTGTTCCTGCTCCCATTCATTGACTCTCCTGTTCCTGCTCCCATTCAATGACTCTCCTGTTCCTGCTCCCATTCATTGACTCTCCTGTTCCTGCTCCCATTCATTCTCTCTCCTGTTCCTGCTCCCATTCATTGACTCTCCTGTTCCTGCTCCCATTCATTGACTCTCCTGTTCCTGCTCCCATTCATTGTCTCTCCTGTTCCTGCTCCCATTCATTGACTCTCCTGTTCCTGCTCCCATTCATTGACTCTCCTGTTCCTGCTCCCATTCATTGTCTCTCCTGTTCCTGCTCTCATTCTCTCTCCTGTTCCTACTCTCATTCATTCTCTCTCCTGTTCCTGCTCTCATTCTCTCTCCTGTTCCTGCTCTCATTCATTGACTCTCCTGTTCCTGCTCTCATTCTCTCTCCTGTTCCCGCTCCCATTCATTGACTCTCCTGTTCCTGCTCTCATTCTCTCTCCTGTTCCTGCTCTCATTCATTGACTCTCCTGTTCCTGCTCTCATTCTCTCTCCTGTTCCTGCTCTCATTCATTGACTCTCCTGTTCCTGCTCTCATTCTCTCTCCTGTTCCTGCTCCCATTCATTCTCTCTCCTGTTCCTGCTCTCATTCTCTCTCCTGTTCCTGCTCTCATTCTCTCTCCTGTTCCTGCTCCCATTCATTGACTCTCCTGTTCCAGCTCCCGTTGATTCCCACATTCCATGTCACATTGAAGGACGCTTTACAAACAGTTCACTTTGGTTTCCATCATATTAAAATGTTGTTACTGTGTTCTGTTGAACCCCTCGAGGAGGTGGGCCTGCCCTGGCGGCTGTGGGGCGTGGTCAGTTCCGTGGACACGCCCTCCCTGTATATAGTGCAATATTCTGGTTTTTTGCAATGGGGGAGAAGCACAAATAACAGAAAATCTTTACTTGTGAGGTTGACATGCCCGGGGCGGGGGAAGGGTTTTCTACGGGATGTTAACTTGCTGAAGACGCATCACTGATCTGCAGATGTAACTTAAAGAAATCTTCTATCTTATGTTGTTTAAGGCGGATTCTCAGTCTGTTAAGTTTGTAATATATAAATGCTGTAACAATTCATATTTAAGCAGGTTATAATGATTACAAAAATGAATATTACTGTTCAACTAATTAAACTGTTATTTTTTAATGAGCAAAGAGTGGAAGGGCTGTTTCTTCATTAGCGGGGGATGGGTGATACTCGGCATTCGGTTCCCAATGGAGTAAACCTTGTTCATGGCTATCTGATGAATTACGGTGACAACCAAACCAAGGCAGCTTCCCTTCGTGGTGTCACGGCATCGGAAGGACTTATGTCTGCCGCACACGGTCACTGGGAGCCCACCATATGACTTGTCCCAGGGATGCCACTCAGATCACTCCACAGGTACACTTCATTCAGTCTTAGATACTCTGACATCCTGCAGGAGATGGTCAGAGACTGCAGACATAGTACAGGAGATGGTCAGAGACTGCAGACATAGTACAGGAGATGATCAGAGACTGCAGACATAGTACAGGAGATGATCAGAGACTGCAGACATAGTACAGGAGATGGTCAGAGACTGCAGACATAGTACAGGAGATGACCAGAGACTGCAGACATAGTACGGGAGATGACCAGAGACTGCAGACATAGTACAGGGATGACCAGAGACTGCAGACATAGTACAGGGATGACCAGAGACTGCAGACATAGTACGGGAGATGACCAGAGACTGCAGACATAGTACAGGAGATGACCAGAGACTGCAGACATAGTACAGGAGATGACCAGAGACTGCAGACATAGTACAGGGATGACCAGAGACTGCAGACATAGTACAGGAGATGACCAGAGACTGCAGACATAGTACAGGGATGACCAGAGACTGCAGACATAGTACAGGAGATGACCAGAGACTGCGGACATAGTACAGGAGATGACCAGAGACTGCAGACATAGTACAGGAGATGACCAGAGACTGCGGACACAGTACAGGAGATGACCAGAGACTGCAGACATAGTACAGGGATGACCAGAGACTGCGGACATAGTACAGGAGATGATCAGAGACTGCAGACATAGTACAGGAGATGACCAGAGACTGCGGACATAGTACAGGAGATGACCAGAGACTGCAGACATAGTACAGGGATGACCAGAGACTGCGGACATAGTACAGGAGATGATCAGAGACTGCAGACATAGTACGGGAGATGGTCAGAGACTGCAGACATAGTACGGGAGAGGGTCAGAGACTGCAGACATAGTACGGGAGATGGTCAGAGACTGCAGACATAGTACGGGAGATGGTCAGAGACTGCAGACATAGTACGGGAGATGACCAGAGACTGCAGACATGGTACGGGAGATGGTCAGAGACTGCAGACACAGTACAGGAGATGGTCAGAGATTGTGGACACAGTACGGGAGATGGTCAGAGACTGCGGACATAGTACGGGAGATGGTCAGAGACTGCAGACATAGTACGGGAGATGGTCAGAGACTGCAGACATAGTGGGGGAGATGACCAGAGACTGCAGACATAGTACGGGAGATGACCAGAGACTGCAGACATGGTACGGGAGATGGTCAGAGACTGCAGACATAGTACAGGAGATGACCAGAGACTGCAGACATAGTACAGGAGTTGACCAGAGACTGCAGACATAGTACGGGAGATGGTCAGAGATTGCAGACATGGTACGGGAGATAGTCAGAGACTGCAGACACGGTACGGGAGATGACCAGAGACTGCGGACACGGTACGGGAGATGACCAGAGACTGCGGACACGGTACGGGAGATGACCAGAGACTGCGGACACGGTACAGGAGATGGTCAGAGACTGCGGACATAGTACGGGAGATGGTCAGAGACTGCAGACATAGTACGGGAGATGGTCAGAGACTGCAGACATAGTACAGGAGATGACCAGAGACTGCAGACATAGTACGGGAGATGACCAGAGACTGCAGACATAGTACAGGAGATGACCAGAGACTGCAGACATAGTACGGGAGATGACCAGAGACTGCAGACATGGTACGGGAGATGGTCAGAGACTGCAGACATAGTACAGGAGATGACCAGAGACTGCAGACATAGTACAGGAGTTGACCAGAGACTGCAGACATAGTACGGGAGATGGTCAGAGATTGCAGACATGGTACGGGAGATAGTCAGAGACTGCAGACACGGTACGGGAGATGACCAGAGACTGCGGACACGGTACGGGAGATGACCAGAGACTGCGGACACGGTACGGGAGATGGTCAGAGACTGCGGACATGGTACAGGAGATGGTCAGAGACTGCAGACATAGTACAGGGGATGGTCAGAGACTGCAGATATGAAGGCAGCACAGTTAGTGCTGTAGGATCACACACCATCCAAGGTCCAGATGCAAAATTTAGGAGGTTGTGTTTGGTGGGAGGTTAAGGGCTCATTTTAGGGGGTCAGGGGTATTGGGGGGTTTCATCCATTTGGAAGTCTAACTCCATTAATAATGCTACTCCTAAAAACTGGATAGAGTGGGGAGGGGTTGGAACGTCAGCCAGGTTTTTATGGCTGTCTAGGGCCTCACTTCCTGTCCCAGTGACAACATTATCACCAGACAGGAAGTGAGGGGAAATCTCCGACAGGGAGAGATGGGGGTTCTGGCCTTTCCCGCTCTACTAATAAAGAGTGTTATCATTGTTGTCTGTGTGGCTCTTCCATTTCCCCTCCCTTCCTGTCAGAGACGTGTCCCCAATGAGGTCACCACAGAGGGCGGGGCAAATAGGGGTTCCAACCCTTCATCTTTACGCCCAAAACGGAAAATCTTTTGACTTGAGATGCACTTTAGGGTGTTTATGAACATAAATCTTCACGGCTATTCAGCCAAACTGCTAGTAGGTTTGTTCTGTTCTCCTACCTCCTCTGCTGGGGGTTCAAGAATACACATTATGGCCACTAGATGGAGCTAAGGATCTCAGGAAATACTTATCGCCTATGTTCCTCAGCTCCATCTAGTGGCCATAATGCTGTATATTCCTCTATTTTTATTTTTTTTTTAATGAATCAATAACATTCGACCTATAGAGGAAATAGGGGACCATTGGATTTTCGCTCCATTTACACAGGACGAATATACTAGCAGTTTTGCTGGATGAATAGAAGCACTGAGAGAAATATTGTAGGCTGCCACAGCTGCTGTCCTCCTCCAAATTCTATTTCCCTGGTTCCTTAGAATTCCTCGAGTCACCGACCTGAATCAAGCAGATTAGTTCTGACTTCACTTGCTGCATGCTGATTCTTGGTAAGTGACTGAATCCAGAAACAGCCAGGGAAGTAGCATGTTTGTGGAGGAAGTCATAAATGTAAGGTTCCATTTAAAGGAGAACTCCAAGACGGAACACCAGAAGGAAGAGAGGGAGGCAAGTGGAACTCTGGCCATAATTGAACAAAAATGACATGTCTACAGCGCATCCAGAAAGTATTCCCAGCGCTTCCAGAAAGTATTCCCAGCGCATCCAGAAAATATTCCCAGCGCTTCCAGAAAGTATTCCCAGCGCTTCCAGAAAGTATTCCCAGCGCATCCAGAAAATATTCCCAGCGCATCCAGAAAGTATTCCCAGCGCTTCCAGAAAGTATTCCCAGCGCTTCCAGAAAGTATTCCCAGCGCTTTCAGAAAGTATTCCCAGCGCATCCAGAAAGTATTCCCAGCGCTTCCAGAAAGTATTCCCAGCGCATCCAGAAAATATTCCCAGCGCTTCCAGAAAGTATTCCCAGCGCTTTCAGAAAGTATTCCCAGCGCTTCCAGAAAGTATTCCCAGCGCATCCAGAAAGTATTCCCAGCGCATCCAGAAAGTATTCCCAGCGCATCCAGAAAGTATTCCCAGCGCATCCAGAAAGTATTCCCAGCGCTTCCAGAAAGTATTCCCAGCGCATCCAGAAAGTATTCCCAGCGCATCCAGAAAGTATTCCCAGCGCTTCCAGAAAGTATTCCCAGCGCATCCAGAAAAGTATTCCCAGCGCTTCCAGAAAGTATTCCCAGCGCATCCAGAAAGTATTCCCAGCGCTTTCAGAAAGTATTCCCAGCGCATCCAGAAAGTATTCCCAGCGCTTTCAGAAAGTATTCCCAGCGCATCCAGAAAGTATTCCCAGCGCTTTCAGAAAGTATTCCCAGCGCTTTCAGAAAGTATTCCCAGCGCATCCAGAAAGTATTCCCAGCGCTTTCAGAAAGTATTCCCAGTGCTTCACTTTTGCCACATTTTGTTATGTTACAGCCTTATTCCAAAATGGATTCAATTCATTTTTTCCCTCAACATTCTACAAACAAGACCCCATAAGGACAACGTGAAAAAGTTTGGTTTAAAATCTTTGCAGTTTATTAAAAATAAAAAACAAACCCCCCCCCCATGTACATAAGTATTCCCAGCCTTTAAAAAATGTGAAAAAACCTCCTGCGCTCCTAAGTCCCCCTACAGATTACTAAAGGAGGTACAGCTGCCAACGTCCACCTGTGGGACGTTCAATCAACAAAATTGATGTAGCGCTAATACCATAAGAACCCACAAATTTAAATGAGAGAGAATAAAAAATTATTATACTATTGTCAATTTAAATTTGTTATTATTAATAATAATTTTTTATTTTCTTTTATTTAAGTTTTTGGGTTCTTATGGTATTAGCGCTACATCAATCTTGTTGGTTATTCCCAGCCTTTGCTCAATACTTGGCTGAAGCCCCTTTAGCACCAATTCCAGCCTCAAGTAGTTTTGAGTATGATGCTACAAGCTCGGCACCAGGGTCGGGCTGACCAGTTGGAAACTCGGGCACCGCCCAAGGGCCCGGGGTCAGTAGGGGGCCTCATGAGATGCCCCTGGTACCTTTTCATAGCCTTTTTTGAGTTTGGGCAAGGACACAGGGGCCCCATGATCCCCTATTGCTCGGGGGCCCCATGAGTGGTCAGTCCGCCCCTGCTCAGCACACCTATTTTTGGGCAATTTCTCCCATTCTTCTTTGCAGTGCCTCTCAAGCTCCGTCAGGTTGGATGGGGAGGGTCGGTGCACAGCCATTTTCAGATCTCTCCAGAGATGTTCAATTGGGTTCAAGTCTGGACTCTGTCTGGGCCACTCCAGGACATTCCGAAAGTTGGCCCATAGCCACTCTTTTGTTATGTGGGCTGTGTGCTTAGGGTCAGCATCCTGTTGAAAGATGAACCGTCTTCTTTGCAGGACCTCTCCAGCTCCATCAGGTTGGATGGGATGCGTCGGTGCACAGCCATTTTCAGATCTCTCCAGAGATGTTCAACGGTTCAAGTCTGGACTCTGGCTGGGCCACTCCAGGTCATTCCCAGAGTTGGCCCATAGCCACTCTTTTGTTATGTGGGCTGGGTGCTTAGGTTCGTTGTCCTGTTGAAAGATGAACCGTCTTTGCAGTGCCTCTCAAGCTCCATCAGGTTGGATGAGGAGTGTCGGAGCACAGCCATTTTCAGATCTCTCCAAAGATGTTCGACAGGGTTCAAGTCTGGACTCTGGCTGGGCCACTCCAGGACATTCCCAGGGTTGGCCTGTAGCCACTCCTTTGTTATGTGGGCTGGTTCCTTAGGGTCATTGTTCTGTTGAAAGACAAACCGTCATCCCAGTCTAAGGTCCAGAGCGCACTGTAACAGGTTTTCATCAAGGATGTCTCTGTACATTGCTGCATTCATCTTTCCTTCCATCCTGACTTAGATTCCCAGCCTTTTCCATGACACTCAAAATTGAGTTCTGGTGCATCCTGTTCCCACAGATCATCCTTAAGATGTTTCCACAACTTGATTGGAGTCCAGCTGTGGGACATTCAGTGGATTGGAGTCCACCTGTGTGGGACGTTCAGTGGATTGGAGTCCACCTGTGGGACGTTCAGTGGATTGGAGTCCACCTGTGGGACGTTCAGTGGATTGGAGTCCACCTGTGGGACGTTCAGTGGATTGAAGTCCACCTGTGGGACGTTCAGTGGATTGGAGTCCACCTGTGGGACGTTCAGTGGATTGGAGTCACCACCTGTGGGACGTTCAGTGGATTGGAGTCCACCTGTGGGACGTTCAGTGGATTGGAGTCCACCTGTGGGACATTCAGTTGATTGGACATGATTAGGAAAGGCATAAACCTGTCTATAGAAGGTCCCACAGGTACCAGTGCATGTCAGAGCACAAACCAAGCCATGAAGTCTAAGGAATTGTCCATAGACCTCTGAGACAGGATTGTATCAAGGCACAGATCTGGGGAAGGGTACAGAAACATTTCTGCAGCATTGAAGGTCCCAATGAGCACAGTGGCCTCCATCATCCGTGAATGGAAGAGTTTGGAACCACCAGGAATCTTCCTAGAGCGGGCCACCCGGCATAATGAGCAATTAAGGGAGAAGGGCCTTAGCCAGGGAGGTCACCAAGCATCATACCCAAAATGACTTGAGGCTGTAAATGGTGCTAAAGTAAAGTATTGAGCAAAGGCTGTGAATATTTATGTACATGGGGGGGGGGGGGGGTTATTTTTAATAAATTGCAAAGATTTCAAAACAAACTTCTCTCACGTTGTCATTATGGGGTCTTGTTTGTAGAATGTTGAGGAGAAAAAATTCATTGAATCCATTTTGGAATAAGGCTGCAACATAAAATGTGGCAAAAGTTAAGCGCTGGGAATACTTTCTGGGTGCGCTGTATGCTGCAGTCTGCCATTACCATCACATCCGTTTTTGTGAGTCCCCTGTAAGATCGTTTTACCAGATGTGGAGAACTGTCATTTTTTCCACTTCCTTTAATGCAGTGACAACCCTATACTTTGAATAAACTGCAGTCTTTTGAGGAAAAAAAAAGTTTAAACCACATGATTGAAAGCTGACCACTGTAAGTCCCCCCCGGCAGTGTATATATTCTCTGTCCCATCCCCTATCAATGTCGCTGGACAGCTTGGCCTGTTAAAGGAAGTGGACGAAGAATGGATCTACTGACAGGAGCAACAGGTAATAAAAGTATAAAAAGCAGCAACTGCCGTGTTACTACGACTGTCAGAATGCATCATCTATGATGTTTTCCCAGTTCTGTAACACATTGGGGGACATTTATCAAAACTGGAGCAGCCATGTATGGCAACCAATCAGCTTCTCTCTTCAGCGTATTCAGTTTAGCTTTGGAAATGAAAGGTAGAAGCTGACTGATTTTAATAAATGTCCCCCATTGCAGCCCTTCTCAAACTTTTCAACACAGAGGAACTCTTGAAATCCATTTCTGGTCTCCACGAACCCCTTATAGAAACGACTATATCTACAACTCATGATATATTAGTGTGATGGTCAGTGGGAAGAATGCTCGTTAAACTTGTCATTGAGAAGAATATCCCTCTTACAGACTAAAAAGATCAATGGTGTTAGTGGGAA